TTTATCCAACGTTCTAGTTAGGTAGAGAGTTATCGAGGTAATTGGAATCGTTATTCTTAATCACAAGGCGAGATAGGCTCCGTCTTTAAGAATATCCGTTACAAACCTCTGGCAACGCATCATTAGGACTATCTTTCTGAACAACTTGTCATTAATAACGACAGCATTTCTGTCATCTGTCACACGAGAAGACCTTCGAGCAGATGCTACAGTAATGACTGTGCGTTTGCCTAGCTTTTACCCAACATTCTTGTTGGGTAGAGAATTATTGGGGCAGTTGGAATCGTTATTCTTAATCATAAGGCGAGATAGGCTCCGTCTTTAAGAATATCGTTGCAAACCTCTGGCAAGGCATCATTAGGACTCCCTTTCAGATAAACTTGTACTAATAACGACAGTCATTTTCTGACATCTGTCACACGAAAAGACCTTCGAGCAGATGCTAAAGTAATGACTGTGCTATAGTAGTGTTTTGTGTGTTTTCCTAGCCTTTACCCAACATTCTTGTTAGGTAGAGAATTATTGGGGCAGTTGGAATCGTTATTCTTAATCATAAGGCGAGATAGGCTCCGTCTTTAAGAATATCAGTTGCAAACCTCTGGAAACGCATCATTAGGACTTTATCTCTGAAGAACATGTCATTAATAACGACAGCATTTCTGTCATCTGTCACACGAAAAGACCTTCGAGCAGATGCTACAGTAATTACTGTGCGTTTTCCGGCCTTTACCTAACATTTTTGTTAGGTAGAGGGTTACTGGGCAATTGGACCGTTATTCTAATCACAAGGCGAGATAGGCTCCGTCTTTAAGAATATCCTTTGCAAACCCCTGGCAACGCGGTTATAAAAGTAGTCTGAAGGGGTTTTCGCATGGATAATATACGATTTGTAGTGATCCAATATGTGCGCGAAAAAAAATTGTGAAATTGGTATGTAAACATTTTTATTTTTATGATGCATCACGACGCTCACAGTGTAAGCCCGATGTAAACGAAAATTTTATTAAAATGATTTTTTCAGATACGTAGCGAATTAGAAAATTCTAGAAAGGATAATGCTATCAAAGATAGGGAGTACGCGCGAGTCAGCGTAAGTTATTTCTTTGCTCTCTCATATGTAGTATCTATAGTTGATTTTTTCTATCACTATCTAACTACGATTATATTTTATTTTCTACAAATACGAAATAAACTAATAAAAATTACTCCTACTCACATAGATTATATAGAAATTTTCGATTTTAACCAAGTTCCGCAAGAGATGTTTCCTGAGATTGAATAATTTCGAGACTACAGTATAAATCGGAGATTAGCAACTGATGTAAGTGTAGTGTAATGTTATCGATTTACGCTTACCATTACATTTCATTTTCAGAATATTCAACCCGCCTTGATTTTAAGAAATTTAACGCATTTTTTTTTATCACTAGTGCGATACAGCGCCTATTATATGAAAAGAGTAATATGCCTGGTCTGTTTTGGAACGTTTAAAGATATGTGAAAACCGATGGCATGTTTCAAGAAGCTAGCTGAATAATAAATCCAATATACCTTATTACTTTGCTGATAATCTCGTTTAATAATGTATATTAATGATGTAAATGTCAGTTTGATTAGATTTTATTAGCTTCACTTGATTTTTCTGCTCATATTTGTGCAATAGATAAAAAGATGAACATTACCTTGTACAATTTGTTGGATCGATCTTGGAATATACAGTACCTTTGGAGAAATATAACCGTATCACTCATCAGATACTCCTTAATTTACAATAAAAAATTTGATGCTATCCGCATAAAGGATATCGGTTTATCTACGCAAATCGTTAATTATATGTTAGACTTTCCGGAAAAATAAACTTGCAATATATAGTACACTACATGTGATGTCAAGACAAGTTCAGGAATCGCATTCATATCACTTGATAAAAAATCATTGGGTAAAAATTCAAATATATTTTTCTAAGTAAAAT